ACCAGAGTGCTGGGTCAGTCTGCCTCGCCGCGCCGTGTACGTCGACTCAAGGCACCTAGCTCCAGGCTTCGGCTCAGGCCAAGCTGAAGTGACGCACGTGGAGCCGTACCAGAGTGGAAGCCACTGAAGGGTTAAGAACTCAGCGAGGAGCAGCAAGTCACGCTTTGGCACCTGTTTAACCACCCAGCGTTCCACGAAATGATCCCGACATTGAGTCTTTGTTGTCCAGCGCGGCGAGAGGCTGTGCCGCATGTCGAGTTGTCAGGCGGTGCCTGCAACCGTCGCCTTTTTGGAGGTGGGCAATTGCCTGTGTCGCTTCTTTCCGGCTTCCTTGTGCCAGAGCCTCCAGTCGGCAGACAGGTGACATGTCGCTTCTTTCTGATATAGGAAAAATGGCGTGAATGCACTGTAAGCATCAGCGCCACCCGCTATTTCGCCACAACAGCGAGCTGAAGTGACTCTCTCCACCGCGCGGAAGGTGGAAAGCCTACCGCTTGCCCAGAAAGCAATGCCGTAACAGTAACTGGGCCCAGGAATTGGGACCTGCAAGATCAGAACGGCACCTGGAATGAAACCGGGAGGCACATGGCTCCGCGAAAGGCACAATCCCTTACTGTTCGAAAAGGAGCCCGGTCGGGACCTCTGGCACAGAAGTTGCGCCCAGAGTCTGTTCGAAAGCCTCCCAAATTGCGCGGCCGTCTGATCCGTAGCGGCTCATGATCAGCAACAACAACAACCAAACCAACAAGAGCAACATAACTTACGTGGAAACTGTTGGGGAAAGCCATTAGCGGCAAATAGCAGCCAAGAGCTGCGAGAAACCCGATGGGTTGACTCAGTCTCAAAACCTGAAACCTTTTGGTCACCTCATCTAGTCAAACCCTCCCTCGTTGCACCCGGACGTTTCAAGGTTTGGGTTTTTGGCTTACGGTTTGGGTTTTTGGCTAACGGTTCACGGTTTAGGGCTTAAGGCTTAGCGGGTAATGGGTAAGGGTTTAGGCTTCGGGTTCACGTTTGTCACCCACGATGTTCCGTGGTCCTGCCTGAATCCAGCAGTACGGAATTTGTGTATAAGGTTTGGTATGCTCGCTGGTAGGCTGATCCTGATTTGCATGTCCGATCCTGCTGGAATTTGTGGCAACATGCCACGCAGCCTGTGCCCAAAAGCCACCGCTCACGCAGTCCGGCTGGTCATGGTGCTGAGGAAAGAAGCGCGTTTTTATGAATCCAAACGAGGGGCCCGATTTTCGAGCCGAGAATGATGGTTTGCAAACACCCATTCTCGAGCCGAGAGTGGTCTGCAACATGCCATTTTCGAGCCGAGACGGATGGTTTGCAAACTTTATTTTCGAGCCGAGATTGGTGGTTTGCAATTTGCAAACCGCCATTCTCAAGCCGAGGAGAACAGGGGTTAGCAGAGCCCCATTTTCGAGCCGAGACTGATGGTTTGCAAACCCATATTTTCGATCCACTACCATCCACAACTAGCCACTGATAGCCAGGAAGATGCACTAATATCCACTGATATCCACGGGTAGCCACTAATATCCACTGATAGCCACTAACAGCCACTAATGGCCACTAATAGCCACTAATATCTACTAATAGCCACTAATAGCCACTAATATCCACAAATAATAGCCACTAATAGCCACTAATATCCACTAATAGCTAGTATAGTAGCCACTAATAGCATACGCTATACTAGCTTATGGCCACTAATAGGTTCAGAAAACACTTTTCGTGATTCACAAAAGGTTCCCTAGAAAATGCATATAACATAACAACCTACAAGTGCAATCCGAGGCCCTCGCAAAAACAAAAAAAACACCGGAACAGTAATTCCAAGACCACCACTGGCAAAGAAAACACGTCCTAAAAACAGTCTTAAAACAAACCTATCAAGCAAACCAAAAGCATTTGTAGACACCATCTAGTAAATCTGTATAAAACCCCACGCAATAACTCTTCAAATCAGCAACCCAAACCGAGCTTCAAACCCAAGGCCCTAAACCCTAAACCCTCAACTTTAGACCCGTATTCAACCCTTATAAACCCTTAAAGCCCCTATAAACCCTGAGGGCAAGGAGCTGGTCGTTCCTGGAGCGGCCGGTGTGGATCTTCTTGCCCACCTCGCCGTACTTCCTTTTGCAGGCTTCTCAGCTTTGAAGTTGGAGGTTTAGGGTTTAGTTTAGGGTTTAGGGTTTAGGGTGTGGAGAGCTTAAGATTTATAGGCCTCAGGGCTAATGGTAAACCCCCCGAAAAGTTGGAAACCGGATTAAGGACACTTCGAGCTGGGATTCCCTATACGTTACTCTTTTAAGAATTGAAGCTATTGGGTTTCCACCTTTTGGGGTGTGTGTATATATATATGTGTATATATATATATATATAAATAACATGCACATACTTAGGGCATGCAAAAAAATCAACAGTTGCCGGAAGTGCCACCTAGTTTCACTGGAGATTCAGGGTTCGGCCTTATAGGGGTTCGAAATAATACACAAAGAAAAGTCTGAGCTCTCATTTTACAGGGTCTCAAGATTTTGGGGTTTCAGGGCATGATTCGGATCTCATGGAGTAGAGCTTTCTCTTACAAGCTTCAGTGCTTAAGGATTTAGGGCCTGGTCAGGGTCGAGTGATAGGCTCGGTTTCGCCTCTTCTTGTTGAGACTGGTCTATCGGAGAAACAGAACTTCCGCGAACCATCAATTCGACTTCTGCCTAGAACGTTGCATGCAGTTCGTGAGTCTTGCGATTGGGGGAGGTCTTCGAAACTTAAGAGCCCTCACAGTTGGCACGCAACCAATCTTGAGACTCCAGCTTGACGTGGGAATGTGTATCTCCCTATGGGAAATACTCCGAAGAGGCTCGGATTGCTTCTGACCTCGCTCAAACAAAGCCTTAAGCACGCAACGTTAGAGCTTCCAGTTTGCTTCTGTTGCAGGACCCAGAATGGCAACTGCACAGTGAATGATTTAATCGGGTTTCAAGGTATCGATTGTTCATCAGGCTTCTAGAAGCCCGATTTGGGTTCGGGCGGTTTTGGCCTTGTGGTGGCTCCTCTTTTCAAGTCGCACCTGCGCTGAGACAGTCTCGGACAAACGACAGCCCTAAGGGTCCGTGTGCCCCAATAGTATATAGTTTGGCCTTAAAGTAGTCCCTGTAGAGGTACTCTGGGGCCAAAGTATACACAATTTGGGCACATGGACCCTTACCCTAAGGGTCCAAGTGCCTAGTAATCATATGCTCTCCCAAATTGTAGTTAGCCTACATCCTTTGGACCTTTAGGGTTAGGGCGAACAAAGGCCAAAAAACAGCGCTGTCGCCCACCCCTTTGGCCATTGCGAGGCAAAGGTTTCACGTGTTCACCGCCTGGGGCTCCCTACTGTCCCTAATGTAGGGTTTAGCGTTTAGGGCTTCCATAATTCGGAACAGGGTTTTGGGGGATGTCTTGGGTATATGCTTCCTGAAGAATACTGTAACGTAATGTAGGAGCCTTGCTAATAAGAATAGGGTTTTGGGGTCCACAATACTATAATCATAATCAGGAGCCCCCAAAACACTTTATGTAATTATTTAGGCTCCTACATTAGTTATCTAGGCTTCTATAGGGATGTTTCAGGCGAGAATCAGCTCGGAATTGCGTGCACACGCTCGGATGGTCCAATGGATCCGCCGAGGCGCTGGGCAGGACCGTGGGGTTTATAGGGTTGTAACATAAGGGCCTTAATTATTAGAATAGGGTCTGGGGGTATGCTGTACTATGATTATAGTACGGAGCCCCCAAAACCATATTCTAATTGTTAAGGCCCCTACATTAGGGTGAATAGATGTGCATTGTGCCGTCGTGTGCTTGAAACGGTGCCGGAGTGTGCTTGAAACGGTGCCGAAGGCCGTTCAGACTTTCATCCGCTCAACCTTCCGGCTTGCAGCTTTTGCTCTGGTGTTGTGCGAAGCGTTCAATGATCGTCAAGTACAGTAGTTGGTATGGTTCAAACGCCGTTTAATGCTGTGCCCTACTAATGAGAATAAGATTTTGGGGGGGGGGGTATGTTATAGTATAGTTGTCGAGCGACTATAAGAGGATACTATTTATCCGCCCACCACTTTGTTCCAAAAAAGTTGGTGTCGTGTACCAACACCTAAGAAGAGCACCTTTGTAGCGCCTGCTACAGTAACAGGCAGAGCTTGTGGGCAAAAACAACTCGACCAACACTTGTTACATACTTTGTTGTGCAGTTCACGCCTTAGTTAGTTCCTGCTACAAGCCCTGTGATCTTGATCAAGGCCAAATCATACCTGATCAGTACGTGTCACTTTTGCTCAGCTGCTTCTCGTGACAACCAGACCACCAGCCTAAAGCCTATAGAGCTCCTTACCAGACCAAAACCATGGAACACAACGACACTACCATGAAATAATCTAAACTCTAGCGTGCATCAACACCTCTCGTGAGGTGTTTCCTGAATCAGGTTCCTTCTCCTGAAAGAAGCTGCCCGATGACAAGTGGCACGCACAGTCACACACTGGACACATGCTTGAATCTGCCGTGTTCCTAAAGAAAGAAGCTAAGCTTTCCCTCGGCGCTAAGCACTGCTGTGTAGGCTGGCTCGTGTCTCAGAATTGTACGTTTGGTGGACTCGTGGGGCGCCGTCTCACTCGGAAAATTCAAAGCTCTCCACGTACCGTCTGCAAGGCTGTCGAGGGGCGGAATCCCAGCCTCCCTTTTGGGAACATCCGTCCCAGTTGCTGTTAATCCGGTTAAAGCCTGTGCCTGTATCTTCTGTGCCTTGAAAATGCCCTGATTGTCTGTCATGTCGTGGCCGTGAAACTCGCAAGAACAAGCCCCGCACAGCGGCTGCTGAGGTTCTGCAGGCACGAAGTTCTGCCTCTGAAAACATGTGACTCCTCTGCTCCTGAGCGGCTCGAGGCGGAGCGCAGTTGCTTTGCGAAAGCCCGGCACGAATTGGCCGTGGATGTTGTCGATCATCATCTGCACTGCGAACCTGTTGCATGTGTGGATGACAGCGAAACCTCGCGACTTGCCATTCGGAAAAAGCGGCATCTCCATCTGGAAGTGGGTCAGACCATGTGAATGGAGAAAGTTGCGCAGGATTTCCGCATCACACTTCGCAGGGAGGTTGCGCAAGAAGAAGCCAGATTCGCCCTCCCGATTCTGAGCTTGTGCCTTCATGAGAAGAGCGATGATTTCATGTGACCGGTCACAGAACTTAGACTGTAAGGGGCCTTAATAGTTAAAATAGGGTTTTGGGACATACTATACCAAACCAATAAGAAACCCCTGAAATGGTATTGGCAATGATTTAGGCCCCGATAACAAATGTCTTGCCGAAGTCAACGGCAGAGCTTTGAGCCAATGGATAGGGAGCTGGAATCTAATCTTGTAGTCAACATGCCTGCGGAGGTTCAGGGCCTTGCACTTAGGCTCGAAGACTACACCCCGACACACCTGTATACGCATACATCCTGCATACATTTGCCCCTCTGCTTATTCCCAGATATACTTTGCTATGATACGTTGTCGTGTCGATTCTCGTATACTATCTCATGTTTCATTCTATGTCGACAGATTGTTTGGCAATCCTTGCGGGCCATAGATCTCTTTGCATAGATCATAGATCCCTGTGCAGACGAGGCTCTCAGTGATGTACTGCTCGATGGCAGTGTGACCATCTTCCTGGCCTCTGTTTGTGAAGGTTTTCTGAAAACTGGTCCCTCCTTGAACCAACAAACGATAGCTGCAAAGTCAGTCGAGGGTCTAGGTTTAAGGTTTATAGCGCCAGCCAATCCCCCAGCCACTCGATCTTTACCAGAATATAATGGCAGGATAGATCTTGGGGGGCTCCATTTTGTGGATTCTTACTGCGGCCTGTTGCGCTTGAATTTCATGGAGCGACATGAAATAGCTGCCAGGTTAGCCAGCCTAAGGGGTTTAAGCTAAGCCTTACCCTAAACCCTAACTTGGAGTTTGCGATATAAGGGGCTGGGGTCTAAAGCTTCAGACTGGAGCATGACGCTCAGTGCTTAGTATCTAACATAGGGGCCGTATAGAATAGGACTATGGAGCCATTATACTATGCTTACAGTAAGGAGCCCCCAAAATAGTATTGGTAATTATTTAGGCTATATTACCCGGTGGCTCGGTCATCAAGCATTTTGCCAGCATCTGGCCCGAAGCCACTAACAGTCTATCCGCACACGGACCACTTTTCGAGCATACCCAGATACTGTAGGGGCCTTACGGAATAACTTGAATGGATTTGGGTTGCAACATGCTGGTAAATTTCGGAACGCCGAGGAATAGCATGTGTAATTTTTCAGCCCCCTGTATGGAGACCTTGCATGCCAGCTATCCAGTCCGCTCACTACAGCTGTACTGCACTTCTGACAGAGGACAGCTGAACTGCTTCCCAAGCGGCTGCGGGTCACCTTGAACTCACCTGCGGCCACGGCAGGATTTCTTCACTGCCGTCGCAATCCGAGTACAGAGGCTGCAAGTGGCAAGTAGAACGACGACACTGACTCAGACCCTCCACAGACAGCCTAAAAATCAAACGTTCAAGCATTCGAAGTTGAAAGCCAGCTTTGCTTACACGAGCAACTGCTGAGAGCTTCTCAAAGAGTTCTGAACCCATTGCCATTGTCTACAGAGCGCGGTAAAGCTGCCCACGCCCTACACGCATTGAATCGGAAGTCCAAGCATTTCTTCTGCGATTGGAGCAGATGTTCAGTATTCAGCGATCTCAAAACCAGGGGGGGTCACAGTAAAGGCTGCAGCGGCAGCAGCAGCAGTAGCAGTATGAACGCGTAAATTGAAAGCCCGAAACACCATCCGCCTGAAAACCAGCACAGCCGAATACATTCAAATGCTCGACTCGCACGTGAAGACAATCAACTTTCAACGCAATACCCTGAATCTGGGAACCAGGGGAGCTCGTCAAACCCTTCACTATCCCAAAGCGTCCTAGGTACTGTGATAGGTGATACTTTCCCAAGTCATAATTCTGTAATGATTCCGAGTATAGAAACTTGACATTCTACTACATAGGTACTTAGGGTGATAGGTGATACATTCCCAAATCATGATACTGTAATGATTCCGAATATAGAAACTTGACATTCTACTACATTGCTACTTTATCTGTTCCATAAACACCTAGACAGGCACGTAAACACTAAATCGTGCCATAAATCACGCTACCCGAAATCGTATAACCGGAGGAGCCTAAAACTGCTTAATCCTAAACTACACACCCAAAGCCCAGGCACTAAGCTCAATGCCCTCACCCACCCCCAAGGCCTGTATGCAAATCAATGAAGCCTGTACATTAATTCCAATTCTTGGGGCCTGTTTCTCGCACACTCCTTGAATCTTATGAACCCTAACCCTGTATATAAGTCCCAGCAGAACTGATCACCCCGCCCCCCCCTCTTTTAGAGGCCTTTTTTCCAGAGGTCGCCAATCTCCTTCAAGGCTTTCTGCAAGGTCTCTAACTCCTGGCCAGGCTCAAAATTCAGGGGCTGCCTCGTGTAATGCTCTAGCTTGTACAGAGAAGTGTACTTCGAGGGCTTGTTGCGGCAGCTTGAAAGTCTGTGAACGAAGTTTGAGCCCATGTGACAATGCGAGCTTTGGATGACACCTGCTACAGTCTAGATGATAGGACTTCCGCGAGAAAATACTTGGATTTAGAAACATCCTGGGGTGTTTTAGGTTTGCAGTTTGCATGTGGTGTCGGATTGAAGCGTAAGGGTTGTTTAGGTGAGTTTCAGCGCTTCGGGGCTTTGAGGCTTAAAGGGATCTGCATCAGTTTACAGAGGCTGAACATGCTGCGAAGGTGAGCCTCCTCCACACGCCATGCAAGGTTTCGAGTGCGGGAATGCGTCGGTGACGGTGAGGGCTTGGGATCTGGGATTAAGGGTTCTCGATTTAGGGTCTGGGTTTAGGGTGTTGGTTTTCAGTTATGGGTTTATAAGGTTTAGGAAGAATTCCACACTGCATCAAGCAGTCTCTGTTGAAGGATGTTCAAATATGCAATACGTCAGTACCCAGCCCGCCGAAGCATCGACAACATTCGAACATCTCCGATGCAATAACTTGAAAGTGAAAGACCCCAGCACCGAGCTAGTCAAATGGAAGTTTGAGAAAACGAGGCTCGATACGGTTCAGGGTTTAGGCAAGGGCACGAAGATGGGTTACGAGGAATGTTGCGTAATGTAGAGGCCTTAATAATTCGAATCGGGTTTTGGGGCCCATTATACGGTAATTATTAGCGGGAACCCCAGGCGCTTAGGCTGTTGGGACTCGGAGTGATAAGGGTTCGACCGTTCGACGGCTTACGGAGCCCAGAGAACCCCCCCCCAAAAAAAAATAAATAAATAAAAATAATAATAATAACGACAAGACCAAGTACTACATCAGACGTACTGCCTTATATTCGTGACCAGGAATCGTAAGGAATTCTGACCCTTAAGCCTTTCAAGCCTAACACCCTAAACCCCAAACCCCTAAACCTTTGCTCCCTGCCTTGGCATTGAGCACACCAATCTTTTGCAGCCTGGGACGGAGGAAAGACCCGAACATCCAAGTTTTGGGTTGGGTTTACCGTTTTTCGGGTTCGGAGTTTGAGGCCAAATTTTCGGCTTTTCGGGCTTGCTGTTTTGTTATCCACGAACCGCAGAAGTCCCGCAAACAGTCCTAAGGCTGTAAACCCCCTACACAGCGAATGTCAAGGATTGAAGACTATTTAATGCGCTGTTTAGGTTTTAGGACTTGCATCGAACTTTAAATGTCTAGCTTTGGATGCTCACTTCCATGTCGGATCGTTCAACACAAACACTGTTGCTCTCAGCATCGTTTCCTCGTTCTCTCTCTCTAGATTTCTCTCTCTCTCTCTCTCTCTCCCTCTCTCTCTGTCTCTCTTTGCTGTCCCTTTGCTTTGCAATGTGTTTCTATGAATGAACCGCTCGTTGGAAGCCGAAATTGTCCTAAACCCTAAACCCCAAACCCCTGTAAACCCTTTACTCTCTCTCTCTCTCTGTCTCTTCTTCTTCTTCTCTCTCTCTCTCTCTCTCCCCGCTGCTCGCATGAGGGCTGCCAGGATGCAGGGGCTTGGGTTTAGTACATTTAGGCTTGAGTTGTGGTGTAGGGTACTTAAGAGTTCCCGAATACTTCATGTTGTCGTTTGGACATTTGGGGCTTAGAGTTCTGAGTTTAGGAAATTTCGGGGTTCGTCAGGCAACCACTGTCACCTTAACCGGCGCGACCTCCTTTTCCCTATACCACAAACTCATACAAGCGACATGGTGGCGTGGGCTTCGCTGGCCTGAAGCACGGATGATAATGTAGGGGCCCTTGATGTGTGGAATAGGTAACTGGGCTCCTTATAGCATAAATACAATAAGGAAGCCTAGGGAATAATAATATGTAGGCTTCTATATTTAAGCGTCACGCACTATTGAGTGGTAGCATGCCTAGCAACAGCTTTCTGCTCTGCTGGGCGTACTGCGACCAGTTCACGCGATGCGAAATAGAAATGGTCTCACAAAGGATACTGTCAATATCATGACCACGATATACATCAGCCATAATCATATGCCATACTGATTCAGACTACAAGTTATCGCTGTGGCTGCTGCAACGACGACATTTTGATACAGGATTCTTCGGACAACCCTGCCATGCCTGCAACGAGCTTTCAAGCTGCGGCAAGGGACTGCTCTGCGTCAAGCCATTCGGAATTACATCTTACCGTTCGTTGATGCAAGACTTGGGAAGATTGCCTGGTCCAATGGACTAGGGTAGGCCAAGATTGCAACGCGGAACACATTGTCCCGCATTGTGGGGATGAGGGAAGTTGAGTACAAGATGTCAGTGGGAATAGGCCTTTAAACTTCGTCGAACTGTACAGGACCTTGGTCCCAGGCCACAATTGGTGGCTGCAATGATTCTGCAGTCTCCGATCAACTCCTTCCTGATTATAAAGCCCTTTCTGGCTAGCAAATCCCGGCCTGGAACCTTCAAAGAGCCCGACAAGGCAAGGTTTTGCTCACTTCTGCCCCATCTCGAGATCTGTCCGGGTTTCCACACACCTTTCGTCTTCTTCACCCATCACCGCAGACCCAACCCCATCAGAAATCACAGAGGACTCTTCCGGCGTACAGAGTGCGGCGCACAAGCTTTTCTAGTCGACCCGAAAGACCACAGAACACACTCAACACCCAAATCCAACACCTCACTCAGAAAGCTAAACCCCAAATCTGTAGTGAAATCTATTACTTTGAGTCTCTTGACCCCGAAGTCTCAGACCCCCTACTAATCTGCTTGGGCTTAGGGGCTTCGGCCTACCGGTTGGTTTTTCCAGATCTTCTCTGGGTGTAGATAGGAGGTTCGACAAGTTCCTGAAATTCCCGGACCCGAAACCCTAAACCGGGGACCTTGAGATCGTAAGGCAAGAGATACTCACCATCGAACCGGTAGTCTTCGCCCACCTCAAAGGGGTTTAGGGTTTAGGAGCTTAGTCAGCTTTTCAGAGCCTTCGGCTTAGGTCCGTTAGTGGCGCATGTCTGTCTGTCTGTCTGTCTGTCTGCCTGCCTATCTACAGACGTGTAGGTCTGCATGTGTGTGAAATGTATGGATGAGTGTATGTATGTATGTATGCATGCATGCATGCGTGTATGTATGTATGTATGTATGTATGTATGTATGTATGCATGCATGTATGTATGTATGTATGTATGTGTGTATGTATGTGTGTGTGGGTTATATATATATATATATCTCCGTTTGTGTGTATATATGTACATATATAAAGAATATTCATATATATATATAGGCATGTAGATGTATATACACACTGAAAACATGTGTGGCTCTTGCGAGTTTTCACGTGCTGGAACCGATGGTTTCTTGTCTGATTGTTCTGCATACATGACGGTCTTCTGGGCTTATGGCTGAGGTAGTTGATGTTCTTGGCTGAGGGAAGCTGGGAATCAGGGTGCTGATTAGCTTGAGCCTCTTTGCCCTTTTTGTGGTTTGCTGCTTATGGGATTCCAAGATGAAGGGCTTGAGGGACGGGTTTGACGGGCCCAGGCCTGTCCAAAACCCTGAATTACAGTAAACCCACGCTCGACCCCAACTGACTTGATTTTGCTCAGAAAGACAGTCTGTAGTTGAAAGCAGACTCGCCTTCAACTGAAAAAGCACACCCTGGCGCGACTGTCCGAAATCCAAGGCTCCGGCAGTGTAGGCCTCGACCAGTGGATGGAGGCCGCCTCCCGAACCTCAAAGCTCCGGAGCTTTGCTGATTAATGCAGGGTTGGCTTAGGGTTTAGAGAGGCTAGTATTTTAACAGAGCTATGACTGCGGGAGTACTGACGCGGACATCTCGCGATTGTTTTCTACATGTGAATGTATTGAAACCTGGTGGCATTGTGCGGCCCTGCAGTCACTGGCTTCTGCCGCCTCATGTCGATCGGTCGAGGGTTCAAGGCACTTAATGGGATTGCCGCGAGCAGAGAATTTGGCCACAAGACGGATCGCATGAGGGTTGCTTGTTTGACCATTGCCGCATTTCTCGGAGTTACCTCTTGCAAAGCAGGTGAAGCCTTCCGGCGTTGTTGTTCCGATCCTGTTGCGGGATAAGCTAGTTTGAGGAGCAGCGAAGAGTCCTTTGCATGCTTTTGTCGCTAACCATTTCCGACCAAATGTGTCGCTGACGTTCGGCTTATGTGGCATACAACGCATGTGGGGGGAGAACCCAAAAAAGGATTGGGGTTTAGGATTCCTTTAGAAAGTTCCTTAAGGGTTTAAGTTTGAGGGTTGAAGGGCATTACTGATGACATTAAGTACGTTTTCTTATATGATACGATAGTCATAGCGAGGAAGCCGCGATAGTCATAGCGAGGAAGCCGCAGGGACAGTCTTGGCTGTTGTTCCCGCCCCTATACTAGAAGTTTCCCAGGCCCAAACCCTAAACTCTAAACCCTAGACTCAGCAACGTGATTTGGGCTTGGGGCTCTCGGAGTGTAGCACAAGTAATGTGTGACGGCAGGATGCAGAAAATGACATACGAGGGCGAAGAACTTAAAGTTTAAGTTTTAGGGTTTAGGGTTTAGGGTTCAGGGTTTAGGATTTAGGGCTTAGGGTTTTGGATCATGCAAGCGCGTTAAGACCCAGCTGATGACTCTGCCTGAAGTGGGTTGCTCAACGACTCTACGATGAACGAAGAGCAGTCACAAGGACAGAGCGACAGTAACATAAAACACAAGAAGGCTACTGAGAGGAGCGTAACATTGTGGTAGCAGTTCCCATGCCCTTTTCGCAAGCCTCTTCGGTCAGAGGACCAGAACTGAAACACAACTAACCCTAAACCGGAGACCCAAGACCTCTGGAGAGTTGGAGTAGGGTTTGGGGTTTAGGGTTTAGGGTTTAGGGTTTAGGGTTTAGGGTCATGTTATAGCAAAATCATACCAAGGCAGGCTACGGAATGCTACTTGGTAATGCAGGCCCCTGGTCCCAATTGGTCCTGAAGCCTGGGGATGACTGGGATTGGGTCTGGCATGGCTCCCACTAACTTCTTCGCCGATTGCTGTAGGGGCCTTAGCATATGATGGGCTGCTACAGTGGGCACGTCAAGTCAGTCAACAATCCTAATGAAGCGGTCTCACAAGGAGATATTGCTAATCATCCGAAACCCTGAACCCTAAACCCTAATCCGGACATCCTTATTACCTCTTCGAGCGTTCTGAAAACGTGCCTTGCCACAGCTTCGCCATGGCGAACAATGGCTGGCAGAGGAGAATGCAGTGCAAGTAGAACGAGATCCCTCAACCCTAAACCCTAGAAACTAAACCCTAAACCCTAGACCCTAAACCCTAAACCCCGTAACAATCCTAATCTTGAGCCCTAAAAGGCCCTAAACCCTGATCCAATGGTACACTCTAAAACCCTCAACACCTTCCACCTCCAAGGCCTTCGCCTCTAAACCGCAAAAGGGATCATATGTTTAGAAGTCGAAGCTGCAGTGTTTACGCATGCTGCTACGCTGAAGCTTGCACGGAGCAAGAAGGCCTTCTGACTTTGTGAACGACTGTTTCTAGAAGTTGATAGGGCTCTGAGGGTACAGGGTTTAGGGGCTTAGGGCTGTTAGGCTTTGCAACACCTAGCCTTACTCGAGGCGGGACGGGTCAGGTATTGAAAGGATGCAGATGTTGCGCAAGAAATCTCGGGTATGCGCAGGATCCACAGTGGCCACGATCTGATGGAGACTTTCCGGAAGCTGAAAGAACTTGTAGCATAGGCTCCATATTGAGGTATCCCTGTTTTCTGAGAGTCCCATTAAAGCATGTTTTGGCTTGCAGAAGCTTCCTCGGTTGAACGGATCGTCGGAATCCTCGCGAAGTGAAGGGGGCGCTATTCGCCTGCCCTCCAGGAGTTTCTTGCAAGCCAGGGGAGGGGATTGCAAGGGCATTTATTGTATGGCTTTCAAGGATTTTACAAGGTCTTGCAAAGGTTAGTCTGTTAAACATTGCTGTGCAGGTTTCTGTATGCAATGACGCTTTTCGAAAGCATCCAACTGCTTGCCTTGAGGGGCATAACTGGGCTCGTGAAGAGAAACTCCATCTACCACCGGCTAGACTGAAGGAGTCAGGTTATGCTCCGAACTGTAATTAACCCTGACTGGCTTTTGGTTTGTAGAAGGTCCACTTCGCGTAACGCAGTCGGGGTAAGCTGATCTGTTGAGGTTAGGATCGGTTCAGTGACATCTGACGCCTTCCTACAATCCGCGAGTCCAACTCGAGAAGGTGCCAAGCCTCTTTGAGGATGGCATGGCCCTTTCCGATCGAGTCGCAGTTGCTAGGGCTTAGGGTTCAGGGTTACAGGGTATTGGGGTTTGGGGATTTAGGGATTTCAGGCGCAGGGTTCAGGGATATTTAGGTTTGGGGTACCTCATCAGCGGTCTTTCATGGCCACAGCCAGGAAGTTTGGCACCCGTGGTCGCTGCTTGGGATCCTCGTCAAGGAAGCCTAGACCAGTCCTTTTCCGGTTTAGGGGTTTGGGGCTCAGATCAACAACGACCTCCACCACCACCAGGACACCACGAGGAACAACAAAAAAGGAAGACCATCCAAAAAACTCCAGGGGATGTTCATAAGAACGCAACTCGACTGGGTCGAGACCACCAGGAGAGAACTGGGTCCGGGATCTCGCTGTGATTTGCAGCTGCTACTGGCTTTAGGGTGCATGCGGGGCCTAGGCTGTCAGCCCTAAACATTAGCGATTGAGCAGCACAAGACTTCAACTCAATCTGGATTCTCTTGCAATCGGTTGGGGCTCTGCCTAACTGATGCTTAGTACGAAAGATGCTTGTAAAGGCAAGGATGGCGATGATAAAGGCATATGATCACACGACTACTCCCCGCTGTCCGAAGAAAGCAAAACAAACCACACACCTCTTTGGTGGACTCCCGGGCCTGTGAGATCGTCAGGGGAAAGTCGCTGGGGTCGGGGATGTCGCCGTCGAAGATCTTACCGTCACCATCGAAGATCGGGCGTCCATGTCCAGGATAGCTCTTGGGATCGGGAACTTCGCCGTCGAAGATCTTGCCGTTATGGTCGAAGATCTTTCGCAGGCGTCCATGTACATCATGTACCACATACAGCTCCACACACTTGCCAAGCATGAACTTCTGCACTTGCATTGACCAGGTTTCGCTGTAGTCTATCCTCAAGGGCGGAACCACCTGGGAAACAAACAGGGCGTTTTAGGAGGGTTTGGCACACCGTCGTACCTCGCAAACCACTTTGGGATATTTTAAGTGGCCCCCGGATAATAACGACCCGAAATCTACCCCGAGCCTTAAGAATCTCTGTCTCTGTCTGGAAGCATACCTATGCTTCCCTCGTATCTCCTGTGCCTTCAAGCTCATTCATAGAGTACTTCAAGACTTCCCACGTTTCATGATCCATGATACCTAAAGCCACAGCACTGCAAGACCTCGGCCTGGAGACTCGAACCCTTTTACCCTGCCCAGTCCTGAGATGGACCATCAAGCCCTTTTGGAACGCCCTTCCTAAACCCTATCCCCTAAAGCCTAGACCCCAAACCCTCCAGACCCTGAACCCCAATTCCCATAAGCTTACTATAAGAACCTAAACACCTAAACCCCAAACGCGATTATAAGGATTCGAGAAGACATCCCACACCCGAAACCCAACCTCCGGGTGGAAGTAGGTTTTCGCCGTATCCAGAAGCAGGGAGAGATCTTTATCCCCTACGAGGACCCCAACCTGCTTTCGTGCTGCGCTTTTCGGGTGGTTTAGGAAAGTTGGGGGTGTAAGGGATTGGAGATGTTGTACGTTTTGAATGGTTTTAGAAGGGCTCGTTCTGTACAGGTTCGAGCTGTACTGCGTGACCTCGGGTTTCATGGGCCATTTGGAGGGATGTGATAGGCTGCTACATCAAGGATCCCCGAGGTTGTAGCTCTTTGGGGTTGGGATTCCAATCTTCGGCTTCAGAGTTTCGGGTCTTTCGGAGCTTCAGGCCTTCAGTGTTTCGGGCTTTGAGGTTTGTCGATTTGGGCTTCAGGGCTGTGAGCTGACATTGACGTTGAGGCTGGGTTTGGGAGTAAGAATTTACGGTTTAAGGCTTGTGTGTAGGGCTTCGGGCCGGTCTGCATGGGCCTGCCTTCTGACGTCTCAGCCCTAAACCCCCAAACCCTGCAACCCAATTAAATCCTAGACCCGAAAACCTAAACCCCAATTAACCCGAAAACCAAAATCCTGAACCCCGAATAAACATTAAGCCTTAAAGCCCTGTGAAGCCAAAAACCCGCAGCCCCCAGAACCTCTTTAAACTAGGCGCGCTCACAGACCAAACCCCCAAACTTCGAAAGTCCAAACTCCAAAACCGTAGACCCAAACTATGAAACCGCGAACGCCAAGCATGCCCTAAACCCTACACCCTTAAATCCGAAAAGCCTGAATGAAACCCTGTAGCTCAACAAACCCTGTGGACGCCCCCCAGATCCGGCAGCCAAACCGCCCAAAAACACGGCCTCCTCCTTTTTCCGGCCCTCCTTTTCGCCCATGATCCTTGGGGCTTCTGATTTCTAGGCCTAGGATTTAGGTTTAGGATTTTGGGTTCAGGGTTTAGGGGTTTAAGGTTAAGGATTTTGGGTTTAAGGTTTACGGTTGGTCGTTTTTTTGTTTGTTTGGCTCGTTGTCCGTTTGTCGGGGTCGTGAAAGAAGGTCAGAACGGACTGCAAGAGATTTCGGGGCCGAGCAACGTACAGTTTTTGTTGACCCTGTGGCCGAGTTGAACAAAAGCAGGTCGGACTGGAGAGGTAAACGTCGTTGTTTATCAAGAGCTTGTGTTGGATGCGCTTGGGAACGTCAAATGTTGAGCCGACAACTTCAGAAAGCTTGCATCGCACATTATGGCAATTTCGCTTTTGACTGGGCAGCTTCCCGAAGCTTTTAACGTTTAGAGCTTTGGGACCGTTTTTGCAGTTCAAATCTTCGCGGATTAATGCGTTTCTTAACATTTCTGGAGGTCGAAACAACACCCACGTGTTCTGTTAGTCTAAACCACCCATCCTCTGTTAAGTTTACATGTCGAGGGTCTCAAGAAGAGAACAATGCAGTTGCTGCAAAACTGGCCAAGTGGCTCAGCCTGCCCATTAGGGTAGCACAGCAATGCGGCGGAGCGGGTGCAGCACAGGTTTCGAAAGTGACGTGTCCTACTTTCCTTGTCGTTTTTTGGGCCCAGGTTCTGTCTTGTGCAGCCCTAAACCAGCCCTTTCTTGGTTCCCCGCGACATGCGATCTGCTGCAAAGGATCTGGAACCATTGTGGCTCTGCGACATGCTTCTTTTTCAATGCCCTTTTATGCGTGTTGTGTTTGGCCATTTGGCGTTTGCAGCTTTACGAGCTGCCTGGCAGGACTTCCCCTTTTGGTTGATTCTTCACTATTTGGAGTTGTCAAGCGCCTGTTAGTAAACTCCTGCCACTCGGTGGAGGTCCAGCCGAGCAAAAAGCCAGTCTCGAGCCAGTGGATTCCACAGGTTGATCAGGACATGTATCAGTCTTGTTGGGCTATGCGGATTGCCTAGTACAGTCTGGGGCAGCACCACCCGAGCGCGGTTACATGTTGAAGCCTTTGAAGAGGGAATAGTCCTTGCAGTTGCTACAAAATTTGCCGAGTCTCGAAAGTGCTAAACTGCTTACTGCTCCGTCTTAGACATATAGGGGGGAAGTTCTGATAGCGCAGACTTGTTTTTGCATCAAAAAACGAGAAAACCGTATCGGATGTTGTATTTCTGTTTTCGAAGGCCGAGTGTCATCTTGTCTCTTTAAAGAGCTCTGGAAGGGAGACTTCCGTGGTTTCTGAGAGGCCCAAGCACCTTCAAGTGCGGCTTGCTTGGGTTTGCCCAGTGGCCTAATGGATTCCTCGCAGGGCCTTCACAGCCCTGAAGCATTCTTTCTTATGGTCTAATGGATTCCTTACACGAGAGGTCGCAAGGATGGTTTGCCAAGAAACAACCTACCGCACTCCAGTCTGGATCTCATAACTCATAATGCTTCGAAATCAACGCTCGGCACGTGCATGAGGTGCCAAACCCAACCACTCCTCGAGTCTGGCTTTGTGCTTTGGGCTTAAGGCCTAATAACCGAACGTCCTGTTCCCACCGATTGAAAGCCAAGACCCTGAAGGTGGAGATTAAGGGGTGTCAAGTATCGAGCCTGAAGTTCATTCTAAAATAATAAAAACATTG